TGCTCGGTGCGTGCGGTTTGCGGGCTGCGGTAAAAGTTTTTGCAGGCCGGGAGAGTATGTAGGCTCTGGTCTGGCCAGAAAATTGGGCCTAGCCCGCATACTCGCCGGAATTTTTGCGGGTCGGGTGTTTTGTGGGATCTGCTAGAGTTGCTCTAACGTGGCCACTATGTTGGTGAACTCACGCGGCAGCTTGTCATGCATCTGGAACAACCAGTTCTTCGCGTTCATCGTCAGGTTATCAACCATACATTCCATTGGTTCTTCCGAAGTCAGCGACCAAACAGCTCTTGCCATAGCACAACCTATTAGGGCATGTTTCCAGTTATCTTCAGATGCACATAAAGCACAAATCCGTGTAGTGGACATGTGCCCATGATTCAAAAGGTCCGTTGTTGGTAGCGATTCATGACATGATCTCCATAAAAAAATCTTCAGTTTTGATGGTACCTTAATATTCCATAGGGCCGATCAGTCTCAAGCTTCCCTCATGGCATCCGATTGGCCTCCAACCTGCTCCAATACATCCACATTCTGAAGTTTTAGTTTCATCAAAAATCTGTAGACCGAACTGACATGAAAAACGGCTCTTTCATCTTCTCCCCATGCCCAAAAGTTTGTTTCTTCCGAAGTCAGCGACCAAACAGCTCTTGCGGTAGCACAATCTATTAGGGCATGTTTCCAGTTATCTTCAGATGCACATAAAGCACAAATCCGTGTAGTGGACATGTGCCGATGATTCAAAAGGTCCGTTGTTGGTAGCGATTCATGACATAATCTCCATAGAAAAACCTTCAGTTTTGATGGTACCTTAATATTCCATAGGGCCGACCAGTCTCAAGCTTCCCTCATGGCATCCGATTGGCCTCCAACCTGCTCCAATACATCCACATTCTGAAGTTTTAGTTTCATCAAAAATCTGTAGACCGAACTGACAGAAAAAACGCCTCTTTCATCTTCTCCCGATGCCCAAAAGTCATCAACTCTCCTTGTACATAAAGGTATTCTCAAGATAATTTCTACATCCGCCGGGAAAAGAACAACACAAATCTTTTCTTCTCTCCAAACAGCAGATGATGCATCTATTAGTTCAGAGACTAGCAGAGGTTTATCATTCACCAGGGTTATAATCGGCTTCATCAACCCTGATCGGGGCAACCAATTCCGCTCCTAGATCCTAGTGTTTTTCCCTGTACCAATTCTTCTTATTAAGCCTTTTGATAATGCATCTCTCCCATCTAAAATTGCCCTTCAAATCTGAGAGCATCTTCAACATGCGCGCAACGCGCGGCGCGCTAAAATGAGAATACCACGCCGCGTTATCCAGGTTTTGCGCGCGACGCTGCGCTGGCTTCAGCGGTCGCCGCAAAATAAAGCGCGCCCGAGCCGCTCCAGCAGGCGCGCTATATTTTATTTTTTCTTGAGACGATTGCATACATAGCATACAAACATGAAGATAGTTTGACACATAGCCTGCTTCTACGATACAAAATGCGTACATCTAGGCTTCTCCAACGATATATAGTTCTACTACGTCCACATAGCATGCTTCTACGATATAAAATAAAACTAAAAACTACTACTACTCGTTCTCCGACTCGGACTCTGCCTCGGTGATGTCCTCCTCCGACGTCTGAGCATAGGCGTCAAGGAACCGCTCGTCACGGGAGTCCCAGGACGACGCATCTCCTAGCGCCATGTTGTATTTAGCAACCACCTTCCGCGTTCGCTTGTCCTCGTGATAGGCGGCTCGCTCATTCCTTCTCTCCTCCCTCTACGCCCTCCTCTCGGCGAAGAACTATTCTTCGCTGATGATGTCTTGTGGGAAGCGTTGCCTCCACAGCGCCATGGCTTCCTCGTCCATCTCGGCCAGGCTAAGACGGCGCTCCCGCCTCCGGTGTTTGCGACGATCCTCGTCAGTGTTAAGCCGCGGGAAAGGCGCCAACTCCCGTGCCCGCTCCCGCGTCGACACGTCGGTGAAGTTCATGTCCCAACGGGACCGCCGGAGGCGCCACGCCGCAACGTCGTACGCGCGGGCGCCATCCTGGGCAGTGTCGAAGGTTCCGACACCGAGGCGCACGCTGCAGCCCGACTGAATCGAGGCGGAATAGGTGCCGGACGGGCGCACGCGGACGCCGCGGTAGCCCAAACCTTCCCGGCGGCGAGGCGGCATGGTGGCGCGGTGGTGGCGTGTCGACGGCGAGGAGAGAAAGCAGTGAGCAAGAGAGAGCGGCAGAGGGTGCTGCAATTTTATAGGCGCGGCGCGTAAAATCTAGCGCGCGAGCTGCCGCCTTTTCCCGCGCGCGCAATCGTTTCCCGTCACCGCTAAAGCACGCGAAACCAGACGGCGCATGCTAAAAAACAATTTTACCGCGCTGGCGCGTCTTTTGGCGCGCCAGTTGAAGATGCTATGAGAAGGGTTGTTTCCAAGTTTCGCTTCAAGCAAGGAAACAGCGGGAAAAACTGGTTAGTGCCACCTGCAGATTAGTCTAACGCCAGGGCCCTCACAGCCCATATCCAACTGCCTTACAGCCCACAGGGCTCTCCCCTCCCTCTCTCTCGCCGCCGCAGCCTCCTCGCACATCTCATCTCCGTCCTCGCCCGCTGCCGCTCCCGCCGCCCCGCACCCCTTCCGCACGGATCCGCCTGCCCATCCTCCGCATCTCCATGGCCGGACATTCGGGTACCGCTCACGCCAGCGGCCGCGGGAAGACTCCGCCCCCCTCCACCAATCTCCTCCGCATTTCAATGGCGGGAGACCCGGACCAAGCTCGCACTTCACCTTCGCACTGCCGTGGCCGCGGCCGCGGCCGCGGCCGCCTTGACTCCCAGGCCCCCAAGGGCAACCAGGCCGTTACA